CCTAAGACCAAATTCCACCAATTTAACTCTCAAACTCATATTTCCAAGGCCTTAAATACGCATGGAGTTCTTGAACACAAAACTCCTCTTTTATAAATTACAACCCAAACCCTAACTTTTTCCAAAATTACCCAACAACACCAACTAATCAAAATGATAAATATTTAAGTCAAAACCCATAAGAAGGAGTTGGATATCCCTACCTTAATTTTCAGAGCGCAAAGGAGAAGAGAGGTGAAAGTCAAAGTGCTCCAAATCCACAACTTTTCAGATTAAAGTGAAGCCCTTGCGAAGCTCTACCTTTCTTCCCAAAGGACTAGGGTAGAAGACCACTAGAACTAGATGAAACCCTAGAGAGAAGATGTATATATATAGAGAGAGGTCGGATCTAGGGTTTGAGGGAGAAAAGAAAATCAAAAAGTGATGAAGGGGACTGCTGCTGCGTACTGATATAACAGAGGCTCGCCCGAGTGAAGGAGTGGTCGCTCGAGCGACCAGACACAAAGATAACTCGCTCAAGCGTAGAAAGCCTCACTCAAGCCAATAATTCAAAGCTTTAGGTCTGCAACCAGAAGCACGCTCGAGCGAAGAAACCCAAAACATACAGCTCTCTCGCTCGAGCGAAGGAAAGCTCGCTCGAGCCATGGCTGCGTCTGAACAAAACCTGAAGACACACAAACTCGCTCGACCGTACAAACTCTCGCTCAAGCGAAGAAGCAACAACACAAGGCTCGCTCGAGCGACAAAGTCCTGGCTTGAGCGAAGAGACTAAAGCAACCATTTGCTTCCAACCACAACCAACCTGTTACAAACCTACCCAACACTTCCTAAAACTCATACACAAAGAATTAAAGGACGGAAACAAGATATAAGCAACAACCAACATCACGGAACCTAAGTCCGGAATACAACAACCAAAGGAGGGAATACCGGGATTGCTATAAACAAAAATTATATATCTCTCTAATTTGGAAGCTCTAAAAGAGTACTAACGATGTGGAAAATAAAAAATAAAAAAAAAAAGAAGAAAAAAATTCAAAGCCAAAACATCACATCACATAGGACCCACACACCAATTAAAGCTATTAAAACTCTTAATTTAGAGTTCCCAATCTTTTTTCTAATATTAAAGAATGAGACTTAACATTCATTTTCACAGATTTAATTCTCATCTTACATACTTTAACTCATATTAATAATAAATCATTATTCATAATATATTATGTTATCTCTGATTTTGTATTAGTATCCCCATTTTTACAACTATAAAATTAACTTACCCTTGTTCCGTCCTAATTTGCCCCTCCTTGATTTGATACAATCTAGGTAGGGGTGGGATACTATAAACGCGCCCAAAATCCACGCTCCCTACCTATGCTAATTTTATTATCCCGTCCAATTGACAACTAGCACCCTCAATTTTTTATTTTCAGTTTTTTGTCTTTTGTATACAATATGATCATAAAAATTATTAAATATTTTCGGATTATCATATAAAATTATCTATATTTTTTTTATCGTCATATGACATTGTCTATGTGATAATTAATCTCGACAAATAAGAAAAATCACAACACACAGTCATCATTTGTCTTTTAATTATCTAATAATGGTATAAATCTCCACATTTCAGTTATACAATATTTTACTACATGATTAATTTAGAATATCACATAAATAATGTACGGGAAAGAAATAAACCTTCTCGTATAATCCTGTTGACCAAGTCTACTCTCCTCCGTACGTCGTCGCTTTATCACCTGAAAACACAAACGTGAGCTAACCGACGGGTGTGTGCCGGAAACCTCTCCGATGCCTAAGTCAGTAAACTTGACAAATAGACAAAAGCTCTATGTATTCAGAAAGCAAAGTTGTGTGTTACCTCTCCAAAGGTGATGTTTGCGAGCTTTTATAGGTTTCGTGTGGCACAATCCTAGTAGGACTTCTATTCCTCCATGCAGAGTCCTCCTAGGATTCATACTCCTGTAGGATAATGCTTATCCTTTAACATCCCCCTCACTGCTTAAACCAAGTGAGATGGTTTTATTATGGCCGAACTCCAATATGACCGAAGCAAATATGTTTACGTTCAATCGAAGAGTAAGCCGAACTAACTCTTCCTTTTATTGCTCTTACGGCGGCTCCTCATGCACAACCCATGGAGCGGTCAGACCGAACTAATATTTCGAGACCGGTGTAACTTTAAGACCAGTCTAATTCCAAGGAACCTTTAGACTGGTCTAAATTCGATCTTCTACTGGACCGGTCCAGTTTCACGTCCTTAGGACCAGACTAACTCCAAAATATCGCACGACCGGAGTATCCTATATGGCCATTTCACTTCGGCCCTTTATACTGTGGCTGATAACGGCCCATCACCTAGATCGGCCCAATTTTCACATAAATTACCCTCTCAATTGCCCCTTAATTCCATCTGCACAGCAAGATTGAGATTACCTGTGTATCAGCCGAGCTGAAGTTTTTAAGCCGTTCCAGCCGAGCTAAACAAAACCCTTTAGCCTTTCCAGCCGAGCTAATTTTACTCCAGGCTCTGCTTGTCCGGTCAAAACGTCTCCTCAATCACAGCAACTGAATCGTTTCTCCTTCCTGGGACACGTGGCACACACTGATTAATTGAGGACGGCTGTCACGCTGTCTTCGTACTTCATGAAGTTTGAACAATCCCGCCTTTTTTCCCTTTACCTAAAACTAGTCTCATCATTTCAACACACTTTACAAATTCTCTCTCTCAGCCTCCACTGCTTGTTCATTTTCTGAGCTCGTGTTTTGCTGCCTTTTGCTTCCATCTTCAGTTTCCTGCTTCTTCTTCTGGTTAGGATTGCACCTTTACTTTGTTTTCATATGTTGCTTTCTGTGTTCTGTTTTCTGTGTTTTCTGCAAACACGTTTTTCTGTTTTGCTTTGCTTTGTACTTTTATGGAAGAAACTTAACAGTAGAACATATGAGTATATGAAATACCCTGTAGAAAACAGATTTTTGATCCAAAATCATGATGCAACCGAACTAGGGTACTGTTTAAGCTAGGTAAAAGTTTAGTTAGCTTAAAACCGGACTAACACTTCATGCTCACACCAGTAGCTTTGAATAAGTCTAACCACTTCTTGATAGACCTTAGCCGAGGTAACCCACCGAACTAGGTTTGCTCTTAGCATAATGAGATACCTGAACTCCAACCGATCTATGCCTTTGGGGCTAAACTAGCTTTCTTAGTTTTTTAGATGGAACTCAGAAAGCTGCCCCTAGGCGATCAACCGGTCAAACAGAACTGTTTCCTCGACCGAGATATGTAGACGCTTGCCGTGCCCGAACTAGAAAAGCCCTGCTCAAACCGAGCTACAAATCAGCTTGCAGAAACCGAGTTAGAACCTGTAGCATCCACATAGCCGAAGTAGGGCTCCTATTTTTTGTACTTTTGTTTTGTAGCACGGTCCAACGATCTGTGCTTAACCCCTTTGTTTTCTACTTTGCAGACTTAGGTTGCCCAGGCACTCCTCTGCATGCTCAACCGAGCTACTGAGACAATCTTGTGGACCGAACTTTAATTTATTCATAAATTATACCATAAATGGGGAAGTATAGGTATCTAGTAGACACTCCGGGCGGCTTAGCCGAATTCAGAAAAGACTACAATATCCCTGATGACGTTCACCTGATTTTAGCCGAAAAAGATGTCATTCCTTGGGGCAATGAAGGCTTTGTCCCCTTTACCCTTTTATCCATAATTGAAACCGGACTACGATTTCCAGTCCAACCTTTAATTTGCGAGTTTCTTAGGCAAACTAGACTATGCCCTACCCTACTATCCACCAATTCATACCGCATAATAATAGGAATAGTCGAACTCAACCGGCAAGTCGGTCTCAACCTTGGTTTGGCCGAAATCTTTCACCAATACTCCATTGGTTCGAAGGAAGACGGCTGGGTATACTATCTCAGAATACGCCACCGTCGTGAGAAAATAATAAAAAACACACCGGATAAAGACTTAAACGACGACGATTTTTTTTGGGTGTCTGGGAATTTTGAGGATCATCAAGCCCAGATTCCTGGCCGACGTATAAACTGGAAAAAAGGAGAACCTGGTAAATTTACTTCGGTTTTCTTGCGTGCTATTTTATATTTCGGTTTGTCAATCTTTCAGCCGAGCTAACAGTTGTCTTTTTTCGCAGATTCTGCCCACCTCCATTCTTTATACAGCTACCCCAATCTAGCGACTTTGCACGCCGCACTATGGTATCCAGAACGTAGTTGGGCTAAGCTGTTAAAGTTCGAGCTGACCTACAGATACAGCGGTCGCCGAAAGGCGAGAGTGACCGACTTTCTTCTTGAGGAGGCCCCAGAACCGGACCCAACCTTGCCAGAAATCAGACTAATCCCACTAATTGCTGAAGATGAGATGGCTAAAAAGAACAGAGTAAGGGCGCTTCTAACCGAAACTAACAGACCCGAAGTACCACCACCAAGCCAAACGCAGCCTGCCGTTGTGGCCCTCCCTTCTCAACAACCTTCTTCATCACGCCCCTCTAAGCGCGCCCGATCTACCCCGACCGAACAACAACTTGTGGATGAGGAAAAATCCCTCCCTCCACCAAGTCCTCAACCCATCCTTCAACCGGAGCAATCTGACCGAGTTGACTCCTCCAAATGGGCTCCAACTCTCACCTTTCAAGACCAAAATATCCAGGAGACTAACTCGGTCGTTGCTGAGAAGGATCACTTGATGGCCTTCAATCTAGCCAAGAGTGTTTGCCTTCCGAAAGATATGGAGCACCACAACAAGCAACTAAACACCGAGCTGAAGGCCATCCGGTCTTCAACAAAATCAATGATCCTGGTAAGTGGCTCTCCCTTTTCTTTGTCTAACTTTTTCCCAACTATCGGTCCGGCTAAAGAGAGTTACTACTCTTTTGCAGGCTATTCAGAACAACAATATTGCCCATAAGAAAGTGCTTGAGCTCCGCAAAACAACCAGGCATGCTATGGCAGAAGCCGAGGCAAAGACAGCCAAACTTGAGCGTGCCAAGAAGCAGATAGCCGAGCTACAGTTCGAGAACGGTCTCTTGACCGGACTTGTTAGCTCGGCTGAAGCTGAAAAACAAAAAATTGCTGTAATGGTGAAAGATAAATACTTGCGCGAGTTGGCCAAACTCGAAGGCAAAAAAGACGCTGAAATAGCCGATCTGAAGAAGAAGATCAGTGATGCCAATGCCCAAGGTTTCAAAGAGGCGGAGGGCCTCTACATTCCGCAGTGCGAGGGGGCGAAGGACTTATTCTTCAAGTGTGGTTGGAGGAGTGCTGTGGAATAGCTCGGCTGTGGGCCTGAAACCGAGGTCTACAATGCTCCACAGTACTTCATTCCAGCCTCACTAGCAGAATATGCTGCTTTGGTCCAAGAACAATTTCTGCAGGATTCGGATGATGAAGACGATGAACAAACTGTTACTCCGGTAGTCAACGAGCAAGTCAACGATCAATCAGCTCGGTTGGAGGCAACGGTTGAAGACCTGACTGTTGAGCCATCGACTGATATCGTTCTGCCAGTTGCTACTGAGACGAATCTTCCATCTGCAACCAGCGTTCAAGTTGACATCGATGCCGAAATTGAAGACCTTTTCTCTTGATTTTGTACTGTTCTTTTTTTGTTACTTCTTTACTCTTGTAACCGGGCTATGGCCCCACCTTTGTATTTGCCTTTTTGATGAATGAAGATTTTCTCGAACTCTTACTTCGGCTGATCTGTATGTTTGTACTTGTAATGATTTTTCCATGATCTTTTTACTTCCAACTGTTATCTCGGTTTTAGCTGGTCAATCTAACTAAGCTTACTAGCCAACCACTCTTCAGCCGACATAATTACTTCGGCTGAAGAGTACAAAGAGTTAAAATCCAGCCAACCACTCTTCAGTCATACCATTACTCCGGCTGAAGAGTATAAAGAGTTGGTTTAATCCAGCCAACCACTCTACAGCCATACCCTTACCTCGGCTGAAGAGTATAAACATTTGGTTTAATCCAGCCAACCACTCTTCAATCATACCCTTACTTCAGCTGAAGAGTATAAAGAGTTGGTTTAATCCAGCCAACCACTCTTCAGTCATACCCTTACTTCGACTGAAGAGTATAAAGACTATAAAGAGTTGGTTTAATCCAGCCAACCACTCTTCAGTCATACCCTTACTTCGACTGAAGAGTATAAAGACACTCTTCAGCCATATCCTTACTTCGGCTGAAGAGTATAAAGAGTTGGTTTAATCCAACCAACCACTCTTCAGCCATACCCTTACTTCGGCTAAAGAGTACAAAGAGTTAGATTAATCCAGCCAACCTCTAAGTTGGTTTTTTTAGCCAACTTAGAAATATGTTTGGTTTAATCCGACCAAACGTCCTGCAGCCTAGATCCTTATCCTGGGCTTAGGAAGGGTGTTGGTTTAATCCAGCCAACCTCCAAGTTAGTTTTTTTCCAGCCAACTTAGAATAATGTTTGGTTATTCCGACCAAACGTCCTGCAGCCTGGATCCTTATCGTGGGCTTAGGAAGGGTGTTGGTTTATTCCAGCCAACCTCTAAGTTAGTTTTTTCCAGCTAACTTAGAATAAAATGTTTGGTTATTTCGACCAAACGTCCTGCAGCCTGGATCCTTATCCTGGGCTTAGGAAGGGTGTTGGTTTAATCCAGCCAACCTCTAAGTTAGTTTTTCCAGCCAACTTAGAATAATGTTTGCAAGGTACCTAAACTTTACTAAAGCTAACTTTTACAGAGAACAACTCATGCTGAAAAGAATCGATTATTTTATTGAGGAAAAAGAAATTACACATGTTTGAAAAGAAGAAAGTTAAAAATAAAATAACTTGAGATTGGTCGTGTTCCATGGCCTAGGGATTGCTTTGCCATCCTTGTCTTCTAAGTGGTATGCCCCTTTGCCTGCTAACCAAACCACTTTGTAAGGACGTTCCCAGTTTGGCCCTAGCTTGCCATCTCCTGGTATCAAGGTGTTTCCCATCACTTTGCGTAGTACCTAATCTCCGATCTTGAATTGTCTTGGATGCACCATTTTGTTGTATTTCCTGGATAACTCTTGTTGATACGAGGCAATGTGGACTAGTGCTTTTTCTCTTCTTTCTTTGGCGAGGTCGAGCTCAAATGTTATGGCCTCTCCATTTAAGTCGGGATCAAAATTTTCGCTTCGAATTGTGGGGAGGCCAATTTCCAGTGGGATTACTGCTTCCATTCCATAGGCTAAGGAGAATGGTGTTTCTCCTGTTGATCGTCGCGGTGTGGTGCCGTAAGCCCATAACACATGAGGAAGTTCTTCGGCCCATTTGCCTTTGGCTTTCTCTAATCTTTTCTTTAACCCATCCAAGACTACTTTGTTTGAAGCTTCTGCCTGTCCATTTGCTTGGGGATATGCCGGTGTAGAATTATAGAACTCTATTTTGTATTCTTCACAAAAGCCTCTGAAGATTCTGCCGTCGAACTGAGTTCCATTGTCTGAGATAAGGGCTTTTGGTATGCCAAACCGAGTGATGATGTTTTGCCAGACGAATTTCTTCACATCTCTTTCCTTGATTGATGCCAATGCTTCTGCTTCCACCCACTTTGTGAAGTAGTCTGTTGCTGCGAGAAAGAACTTTCTGTTACCAGGTACTGTTGGAAGTGGTCCCACTATGTCTAGGCCCCACATTGTGAAGGGCCATGGGCTAGTCAATGGTAGAAGCTCTCTGGCTGGTTGGTGTATCTGGTGTGCAAACTTCTGACATATCTTACACTTCTTGACATACTTCTCTGAATCTGCCTGCATGTATGGCCACCAATATCCTTGTGAAATGGCCCTGTAAGCTAGCGATCTTCCTCCTTGATGGCTTCCGCACACCCCTTCGTGTATCTCGTACAAGAATGCTTCCACTTTGCTGGGGTGGACACACTTTAGATAGGGTCTTGAGAACGACTTTTTGTATAATGCCAAAGATGGGGAGAGCCAAAATCGCTGTGACTTTGCTCTAATTTTGTTGGCTTCTTTCTTTTCTTCCAGTAGGATGCCGTCTTTCAAGAATAGTATGATGGGATCCATCCATGAGGGGCCTAGTTCTGTGCAACATACCTCTTCTACTTCGGGGTCCTCAATGCTTGGTCTAGGGAGGTAGTCGATTAGTAGTTGATGAGGGATGGAGGTGTCTGCCATTGAGGCGAAGCCAGCTAGTTCGTCTGCTCTGCTGTTCTCCTCCCTGCCTATCTATTCTATCCTTACTACTTCAAATTTCTTGATTTCTGTTCTGACCAATTCCTGGTACTTGGCCATCCTATCATCGTTTGTTTCATAGTCGCCAGAAATTTGGTTTACCATCAACTGTGAGTCGCTGTACACCATTAATTCGATGGCCTTCATGTGGTATGCTGATTTGAGTCCTGCTAGAAGTGTTTCATATTCCGTTTCGTTGTTTGATGCTGGGAAGCCAAGGTTGATTGCTTGCTCTACAACCAGGCCGTCTGGTGAGATGAGGACTATGCCAAGTCCTGCACCATGCCGGTTGGATGCTCCATCCACAAAGAGCTTCCACATCTCACCAACAAACAATTTCCAGCAAGTGGAGGGGTCGGATGATGTCGTGGGGTCAAGAATGTTGCTGGTGTTTTCTTCAAGGTCTGTGCTTGTCGTTTGCCCCTCGCTATCTGATTGAACCAAGTCTTTATTTGTTGGTGAGTCTTGGTTTGTTGAAGCTTGGTTTGTTTCTTCCTTGCTGTCTTTAGTCTGGTCTACCTTGGAGTTTGATTGACTACCTTCTACTAGGGATTGCGCTATTCCGACGTCATCTTCCATCCATAGTTCGGTTGTGTCAGTTAGGTCGACTGGGCAGATATGATGACTTCCAGGAGTAAACTCTGCGACGAAGTCTGCCAAAGATTGGGCCTTTACTGTGGTCCTGGGTTGGAACTTGATGTCGAATTGTCCCAACTCTACTGCCCACTTCAAAATTCGCTCAGAAAAGTTCGCCCTCTCAAACAAAGCTTTTAGTGGAAAAGCTGTGAGGACAACTATGGTGTGGGCGTAAAAGTAGTGTGCCAATTTCCTGGAGGCCATCATTAGGGCCAATGCAACTTTTTCCAATGGCAAGTACCTTGTTTCGGCTCCTAGCAATGTCTTGCTGACATAATAGATGGGCAGATGTTGAATTCCTTCCGCACGAACCAACACTGCACTAATTGCATGCTGTGAGACTGCAAGGTATAGGAAGAGTTCTTCTCCTGGTATTGGGGTGACCAGCAATGGTGGGGAGGACATGTATTCTTTCAGGCTTTCCAGTGCTTGGTCGCATTCTTCGTCCCATTCGAACTTGGCTTTTAAAGCTTGAAAGAATGGTCGTAGTCTGTCTGACGATCGGCTGATGGATCGGTTGAGTGCAGTCGCCATGCCGGTGAGATGCTGTACTTCTTTTACTGAGTTTGGTCTCTCCAACTCCTGAATTGCTTTGATCTGGGAGGGGTCCGCTTCTATACCCCGGTTGGTCACAAGGAAGCCTAAGAATTTGCCAGATCCTACACCGAATGCACACTTAGATGCGTTGAGGCGCAACTTGTGCTTCTTCAGGATATCAAACATTTCTCCTAGGTCCTTTAGATGGTCATTTTCATCCTTGCTTTTGACCACCATGTCGTCGATGTAAGCCTCCATCATTCTTCCTAACAATGGTTCAAACATCTTGATGACCATTCGTTGGAATGTTGCCCTTGCGTTCTTCAGGCCAAAGGACATGACCTTGTAACAGTATAGTCCTGTCGGAGTTGTAATGGATGTGACCTCCTGGTCTGGTTCATGCATGGCGATTTGGTGGTAGCCTCTGTATGCGTCCAGAAAGCTAAGTCGGTTGTGCCCCGCCGTTAGATCTACCAGTTGATCTATCCGTGGAAGAGGAAAGCTGTCTTTTGGGCACGCCTTGTTGACTGTTTTGTAGTCGACGCAGACACGCCATTTGCCATTCTTCTTTGGCACTACGACCGTGTTGGAGATCCATTTTGGGTAGTGCACAGTCCGAGGAGCCAATCGCTGTAAGGTAGAAACTCTGTGTGGATCCCGTGCCCTGGCATCCTCCTTGCATCATGCGGTCTGGCGGATGGGTGGACATTGAGTTGGTGACAGATGAAGTTTGGATCAATGCCTGGCATGTCGTAGGGTGTCCAAGCGAACACTTTGATGTTTAAGGTTAAGAATTCCAAGACCTCTAATCTCTCAGTGTTGGACAACGACGAACCAAGCAAAAAAAACTTATCCGGGTTCTTTTCATCT